TGCATACTACAAGCTCTTGAGTGCTGGTGATCCCTACAGGTAACTGTCTCTGTACTTTTGAGACCTAGAGTAGAATGCATCCTAGTGTGAAGGCAGTCTGTCCCCTACCTAGGGATGAGATGGGTTCCTGATATTAATGCAATGGAAAACTCAATGTGGGTTACAATGTTGACATTCACTTATCTTTTTTTTTTTTCACTGAGAAAGTATCAAAATATCTAGAAAGAATACCATGGGTCCTATGTCTTAAAATGGGGCCCTCCATCGCTCAATCCCAACTCACTCACAGCTGCCAAACAATCAGAAAGTGAGCAGTGTCATCTGGTGTGTGAATCCTGGCAACTACTCAGAGTCACAAATCTTCTTCTTCTTCTTCTTCTTCTTCTTCTTCTTCTTCTTCTTCTTCTTCTTCTTCTTCTTCTTCTTCTTCTTTTTTCTTTTTTTTTTTTTTTTTGCAGTTTTTTGAGATAGAATCTCACTGTGTAATTTAGACTGGTCTTAAATTCATGGCAACTCTCCTTCCTCAGCCTCCTGAGTGCTGGGATTCCAAGCATGTACCACCACACCTAGCACAAACCCTCTTCTTGAAGGAAGTAAATTAAGTTTGAACTGTGAACCCAGAGCATGTTTTCAAATTCTGCTCCTAGCAGTTGCTAATTGCTAAGTGACTTAACTTACCTGCAACTCAGTCTTTTCATCTAGAAAATAAAGACAATAATAGTTCCTGCCTCATAGAAATATCATAGAACATTAAGTGACTTAACATATATAAACTCTTACTATAATATCTGGTACATGTTGCACATATATGTGTCTATTTTGATTGTTATTGATTCTCTGTCCCTTCCTACCACTTAATCACTTGATACTACTCTGCCCGCTCTACCCGTCCTGGCTTTGAACCCTAACCTGAATAGCTAGTTCTGAACCTTCCCCTTTTCTGAGTCTGTTTACCTCTACATCAAATACATTCAGGGCCTTCACTTGTTTCTCATAGGATGTGGTTGCTGGTAGCTCAGTATATTAACTCATCTTTGGACATCTTGCAATTTATCATTGCATCCCAGTTAAATGGGTTGTGTACAGTGTTCCAGGTGGGATGTGACAAGTGTAGAAAAGCACACTTTTCTTTTCTGATTCTACACTCTTACTAATCAGTTTAAAATCCAATTACCTCTTTTGGTGGTGGCAGCACCCTGTTGGCTTGTACTGACTTTACAATAAAATCAAGGTCCATTTCACATAATACTGTTGTTAAGCCAGGCAAGTGTCTGCTATTCTGCACTAGAGGAACAAACCAAGCCATAGTTGCTAAGAGAAAGTCCAGTCCAGCAACCAAAGCCCAGTATATCTGCAGAGTTTAGTAATAAAGGCAAATGGCTCAGGGAAACAGTTGCGGGGTGGGGAGCTTGTAGCAGATGCTGCTACTGTTGTTGTCTGCCTAACAACAAATTTGATCCTCTCACTTACAGAACCACAACATTATACAGAGGAGCAATGTTCTCAGCCAAAAGTACTGGATTTCCCATTTTCCTTTGAACTTAGGAATGTCCACGTGACAAAGTTATAGTTAAACAGATATAAGTGGATGTCACTGGAGAGAATATTACATCCTCAATTAAAAGAAAAGCCTCTGTAGAAGATCTTTTGCTCTTAGCCTTCTTGTCCCCAAATTCTTTCCCTTATTCCTGTCTAGAATACAGACATGGAGCCCAGAGCATCATCAGCTATCTTCAGACCAAAACCAAGTGAACCAAAGCCCACTTTAAAGATGGCAAACATGAAAAGTCACGGTTTTATGGCAACACTGAACTACTATTGTAGCCCTGGCCTATCTTTAAAGGGGATTTTTTTGAACAAAATAAATAAACCTTCAGCACTCAGGAAGCTAGCAGAAAGATTACTGCCAGTTTGAGAACAGCCTTGGCTACATACTGAGTTCAAAACCAGCCTGGACTACACAGTGAGACTCTGTCTCAAAAAATAAAAAGTAAATAAACCTTTAGCTATTTAAGCCACAATTGTCAAGTTGTCTATTATTTGTAGCTAAAAGCATTACTAACAGGAAACCAAGAGATCCAAATAAAGACCAAACACACCTGTAGAAATCATAAGAGTCATCTAGAAATACAAGTGAGCAGCTGGGACCAGAAGAGTGTGCCAGTGGGCTGCAAGGCCTCAGCCATTGGGTTGAGGTTCACAGTCAGAACTCCCTTTCTAGATGGTAAACTAAAAGAGCATGATTGAACCTATGGCTTGACAGAGGACATGCTTAGGCAGGGATACAGATATAGGACATGAGACAGAAGTGTAGAGATCAGAAGTGGAGAATGAGGCTCAGTGGAAATTTGAGATCAGACTCTGACTAACAGCTAAGAAACAACTCGAGGCTGAGTTCCATTGGGAAGATTAGAATTACTTCAGTCCTTCCTTCCTTCCTTGTTTTAACACAGGTGTAGCCTGCAGATAGGAGAAAATTACTCTTACTATGGGAGAGGGAGTGGACAGAGAATGGGATCCAAGCAGAGCCAGACAGACTTCAGTTCAAGATGTGCATTAGCCATCCTAACACTTTTCCTAGGGGTTTTTAGATTCACCCTTAATCGTATGTACTTTTTTCTATCTTTTGCTCATGACTTTTAAAGATCGGGGCTTAGGTCTCTATAAACAAGTTCCACTTCGTTATCTCCTAATTTTCAGTGTTTCACTATGGGAAACCTTCCCTTCCTCCTACTACTCCAACTTATCTACTAGGAGTATTGTAGATAGCTTCCAGAGCAGTATGAGTCCCCTTGGGAGAGATTCACTTTTGTCCTCTTACTGTAGCCTCTGCTGGGGGTAGAAGGGAGAGGGCAGGTAAAAAGAAAAAGCTAGGAAGAAGGTTGACGAGGACCTACCATCTCTAGGGAGCAGTGACGCACTTTAGCCCCCCTCCTCACCTTGGATTTCTGTTCCAGGCACTGATTAGAGGCCAATGCTTTCCCTACTCCCATCCCAATTTCTTGTGCTCCTCTGACTTTAGTGTGCTACCAATTCTTTGTGTGCAGTGCATAATGCGTGGGTAAGTTACTGCTATATTATGCTCCTGTGATAAATGGACCTTTGTGAGACATTTCTCCCCTGTGTGTGCTGGGGGACAGGGAGGGAGTGTTGCCTGAATGACTTCTCACAGAAAGCTGCAGAGGTACTTAGTGCAGATAGCCTAGGCATGGCAGGCTGCTCTTTCATTGGCACTCAATGGTATCAATCACTGTGGCTCTGCCAATCAGCTCTAAACTAAGGTATCTGTAAGCAATCACCTTCTTTGCTAAATAGGACACTGAACCAACCCTCCAAGGACTAAACAAAGAATGGCTCAGAAAAGATATTCCCTAACTAGGAAGGGGCAGTAGTGCCAGTGTCACTAACTAGAATCCTTTGGTTTTACCCTCCTTCAGAGCTTGTCTCTATTTCGTACATCTAGGCCAGTCCTAGTTCCTTTCAATTCTACTTCTTAAATTTTCCTCCCGTGTTCATTTCTTTTCTCCACCCTCTCTGTTGCTGCCTTTTTTCTGTCCTCAACACCTTTACCTGGGTTACCAACCAGTCTCCTAACCAGTCTTTCTGCTTTTCGTCTCTTTCCCTCCAACCCAATCTATATGGTATAACCAAATCAATCTAAAAATACAAATTTGGTTACCACATCCTCCTGAAAATGCTTCAACCTATTCATGGTTCCAAGTACCCCTGGGACAAAGTCCAAAGTACTTAGTATGGTACCCAGGACACTGCATGGTTTGTCTCTTGACAAATCCTCATTCTGTTCTTTCACAGTGCTCCCACTTCACTGCCAGTCATGTTGAACGTTTCAGGTTTCCAAATGCACCTTTCTGGCTTTGCTTCAGGGACTTTTCACGTGAATTCCCTCTGCCTAGGATATTCTTCACACAGCACATTCTCTGCTGTCTGGCCAGATCCCATCATCCCTTAAGACTTCAACTAAACTCCCTCAATCCAAAGAAAAATATTTTACTCATTCTATGTTGCTAATGCCTAGTATAACACATGGGACATTAGATTCCCAATAGATGTTTGACAAATGGATGAATGAGTGTTCCACCTCAAGTGACTGTGTGCAAAATCATCATTGAGGAAATCTGGCAGAGCTGATTAATCCCTCCCTCTTTGGAAGGGAGACTGCACCTCAATATCATCCTAGTGCACTGGGATGCAAGTGCTTCTATGTCTGCTTCCCCAACTCAACGTCAAGCATCTCAAGAGTAGGGCTATGTTTGGCCCACTTCAGTGTCCTACCTACACTCTAGTACAGTGCTTGAACACAGTGAATGAACAGGCCTCTCAAATGTTTGAAAGTTCTACCTCATCTGACTTTACTATCCCTCAGACTTTCCATCAAAAGCTCCATAGCAGTAAATTGTCACATTCACAGCTTCACAAACATTCAAAGCTGTGGTCCATCCTGAAAATTATCATCTTCATTCCTCTTAGCTGAAATGCCTTTCCCACTCGCCCACCCAAATTCTATATTCTTTAGAAACCAGCTCCAAGTATTCTTTCAACAACCTGAGGCCCTCACAGAGTCACATGGTACTAGGAACTCAGAAATAGCCACCCCAGTCTATATCTGAGTAGTTCAATTACCAAACCCCACACAGCTCATTTAACTCTTGGTATCCCCTCATGTTATTTAGGGGAAAGCCAAGACTCAGAAAGGGAAAAGGACTCCATGCTTCTTTGAATAGGCTATCATTTCCTTTAAGGCAGGACAGTTGTCTTCCACCCCTTCATCTTTCCAGGGTCTTACTGGAGTGTTATAAAACTCTAGAGTCAGACTGTCTGGGTTTCTATTTTGGCTGCACTTTAGACAATTTAACCACTCTAAAATCTTAGCTTTCTCACATACAAATAAGGGTAACAGTAGCACCGATCTCACACGGTTGTTGTGAAGATTAGATAAGTAAAGTATATGAAGATCGTAAAGCAGTACCCAGCACATAGCATGAGCTCAATAAAAGCTATTTACTTTATTGTTATCATTATTAACAAATCCTTGCTGGCAATAGTTAGCTAAAAACTAGAACGTGAGAGTTTTAGAGAATAAGAAAGAATGAGGAAAGAAAGTAAACAATAGGAGTAGTCTGAGATTTTGTGAAGTCTAAATAAGGTTAGTGGCGCGGCAGGGTGTTTGTACGTCCAAGTTTCTAGTACCATGTGACTCTGTGAGGGCCCAAAGCACATGTCTCCATCCGGCCGCACAGCTTCCCTTACTCTCGCACAGCTACTCCCTGTAACCTGTAGGGGGAGCCAGGAAGCTATGACAGGGTTAGGGGGAGGCTACTGAAAATCTTCCTAAGGACAAAAAAATGATACCCCACCACTACTACCCATTTTAGCCCGCTACCTTGCCCCTTCCAGGACGCTTTCCAAGCTCGGTCCTCTTCTGTGGCTAAACTGAGAGCTATCCTCCAGCACCAGGGGCCACCTTGGTCTCGGGCAGGACATTGAAGACGACAGCAGAGTTAGGGACTCGGGACTGGTCCGATCCGCAGCCGGCTCCAGTGCCTCCGAGTCACGGGAATGGGGGAGGCGACTCAGGGACGCAGGGAGACGCTATGGAGATGTCTCCTGTCTTCTGCCTCCAAGAATCAGCCTCAGAAGTCCGCGAGCCCTGGGGAGGGCGGGGGCTCGGGGGGGGGGGATTGGTGCCAGAGTTGGTGGGGGAGGGGGAGCGCCTGGAAGGGGACTCAGCATGTGGGGTGCACACAGGGCGGGGAAGTCGGGGGGCGGGCAAACGAAAGAAGGCACTGAAGTGAATGGAGTTGGGGGTGGACTGAAAACATACTCAAACAGCACAGGCTGCGGCCGGCGGGGGACTGGGAGTGTGTGTGTGTATGTGGAGGGGGGGGGGGTTAGTCCTGAGGCGCAGGCGCAGTTGGGGCCCCAGTCTCGTTCCCTCCTCCTCCTGGTGCCTCTTTCTCCGCCCCGCTCCCCCCAAACACACTCGCACACGGGCTCTCAAGGTGTTCTCTGCACAGCGGAAGATGGCGACAGACTGAGGGGGCATGGCCAGTAGGAGCCACGGGGCCGTGCTGCTGGGCGGCCGCCACAGCGGTGCGAACGAGAGGCGGAAGCAAGAGGCGCGCTAAGTGAAGCCCAGTGTCCGCGTCCGGCGCCTGTGGCGCTCCTAGGAGCAAGGTGGCCCGCCTGAGCCGGAACTCTGGGAACGGCGGGTGCAGAGCCAGTGCGGAGCCCGCCCGGGACCGGCCCAGGCAAACGGCCGGAGCACGAGCAAAGCCCGAAGACTTGGCAGAGCACCAGCCGGCTGGCCTAGGAGTGCGCGAGCCAGGCAGGGAGCAACGCGGAGCCGGCAGCGAGCAGCAGGCGGACAGGCGGGAGAGGAGAGGCGCGGGCGAGGGGAAGGGAGCGGAACGCGGTGGCAGGGCCCGCACGGCGGCGCTGAGGGGCGCAGAGCTGCGCCTAGCCGAGACGGCCGGAACAGAGTGCCAGCCAGGCAGCCGCCGGCGCGCAGTGAAGTGGCGAGGAGCGGAGGGCAGCTGAGGGGCCCGACACTATGAGGAGTGCGGCGCCGCCGCCACAGCCGCCGCCGCCCCATCGCCCCGCACTGCCTCCCGCTGGGACGCCAGGCAGCGCCTAGCGGGTCGGGCGGCGTGGCCCCGGCTGCGGGTGAAGGAGCGCGGGAGGGTCGCGGGGACGGCACGAGAGCGCCCCGCGACTCTAGCCTGAGAGGGGCCCGGGGCCAGCCGGCCTGCCTCACAATGCATCCCCCGACGTAGAGCCTGGACGGCGCTGAGGAGCGCGGAGCGGCGCGCAGCCCGCCCGCCCGCCCGAGACTGCCGTCCGGCCTCACGTCTACCTACTCCCTTCAGCCCGGACCCCCCTGAAATATGTTCAGGGGAGCTTGGATGTGGCCCGGGAAAGACGCCGCCGCGCTGACTATCTGCTGCTGCTGCTGCTGCTGGGCTCCCAGGCCGAACGACAAACCTTGCGCTGACTCTGAGCGGGCGCAGCGATGGCGACTGTCCCTGGCGTCCCTGCTCTTCTTCACCGTGCTGCTCGCTGACCATCTGTGGCTGTGCGCGGGGGCCCGGCCCCGGGCCAGGGAGCTGAGCAGCGCCACGCGGCCACCCTGGGGGACTGGCCGTGATCGGCAGCCGGTGCCTCCTAGGGTGGTGCTGCCACTGCCACCGCCGTCGCCCAGGGTGCCCAGCGCGTCCCTGGGCACTTGCGGCCAGCGATATAGCAACCTGACCAAAGCCGCCTCCGCCGCCGACCACAGGCAGGTCTGCGGCGGTGTTCCCAAGCCCACGGGGCTGGATGCAGCTTGCACCAAATTGGAATCTTTGCAGAGACTTTTCGAACCGACCACCCCGGCCCCGCCTCTTCGACCCCCTGACTTCCCTTCCCGTGGCCTGGCCCAGTTCCCCTCCGCCAAAAAAAACTTGCTCAAAGGCCACTTTCGGAACTTCACTCTCTCCTTTTGTGACACCTACACGGTCTGGGACTTGCTGCTAGGCATGGACCGCCCCGACAGCCTAGACTGCAGTCTGGACACCCTGCTGGGGGACCTGCTGGCCATAGTGGCCAGCCCTGGCTCTGGGGCCTGGGAGGCATGTAGCAACTGTATTGAGGCATACCAGCGACTGGACCGACATGCTCAGGAAAAATATGACGAGTTCGACCTCGTGCTACATAAATACTTACAGGCGGAAGAGTATTCAATCCGGTCCTGCACGAAAGGCTGTAAGGTAAGAATTAGTGTCCACAGCTGTAAGGGCTGCCTGGGCATTGGCAGCAGAAGCAGTATGACTTGGAGGAAAAACGGTCTTCTCTACCCACTCCACTACTCCTATCATTTCCAAACACTGCAACTGTCATCCTAGGCCCCTCCCTAGAGAAGGGGCCTCTTGTGTTCAGGTCAGGTAATCTGGCCAACTTCTATTAACTTTGGACATTTTAGAGCCGAGGCTTCCTATAGCACTGCCCACACGTGAGGAATGAAAGGAGTCATGGGCCCCCAGTGGCAGACAAAGGGTTAGAAAGAGAGATTATGCTCTCCTAGCCACCATGCTCAGCCAGCCATGAATCTTTTTTCCTGGGCCAGAATCGCAAGTCCTGGGACTGGCTGGTGTAAGGTGGGGAGGCCAAAAGCAAAGAGGAAGAATGGCTCACCCTTTACCTAACACCAATGGGTGAGATGAGGCTTGGTGGGAGGGCACACCACACTATTGACCTTATGTGACCCGATGTGGCTCCCCAGAGCCTAGGCAGATGGAACCCAAGGGTACCTGTCTTCTCCCAAGGAGGAAACCTGCAGGCTTGCGTCCCCTGACAAAGGAAGGAGCTAGGAACTCAGCACATCAGCCTGTGGAAGGGTCACTGAAGGTTGGTGCATTACTAAATTCCCAGTGCCTTCCAAGCACCCCAGGGTGGGGGTGGAGGGAAAGCTGGCTTCTGCTAGGGACAGGTATCCAGAAGAGAGGAGAGGCCTGCCTAGGGAAAAGCCAAGTAGTGAGAAATTTCTTGACCCTTAGCAGGGTTATTCTAGACAGTAGGCGGATGGGACCTGTAAATCTTTGGGACCTGATGCTCCTACCCTGTTCTCTTGCCATGGCCCAGTGGCCTGCCTTGCAAAGGAAAGAGAACAGCAAGGTCAAAGAGTCAAGTGACAAGGAGACCAGGTGGGGTGGCAGCCTTACACATTTTCAAACTGAGGGGTGAGAGCTGGAGGAGACAGTTGCCTCCTAGTCTAGCTCATCTTCCTCCAAGGCTTTGTGGAAGGGCAGAAAGTATCACTTTTTCATCCATCGTGGTCCCCATGGACTTGGACAAGGTTGTGTCCTTAGTGGGCTGTATTTGGATTTGAAGCAGAAGGTTGGGGAAGAAAAGGGATAGCTCCTGGCTCCTGACTTCACTTTCTCCTCCTCCCTTTTCCTGTTCTCGTAACCTAGCTGTCTCCTCCCGCCTCTCTCAGCCTCAGCTGACTCACTGCCTCACTCACACTACCAAATGAGATATTCCACTTCTTAAAGGTGTATAGACAGACACACACACACACACACACACACACACACACACACACACACATATTCCTCGCCACTACCCCAGGGCAAAGTTAAAGTGATGGAGATAGTCATACCTATAAACAGTGCCAAAGAAGCAGCCTCTTTCCTCTCTCTCTTTCACACACACACACACACACACACATCTCCACATTGCCAGAGGCATGCTAGCAGTACTATCGCATGAAGAAGGATATACTTTTTTTGTCATATAGAGACACATACCTTTAGTGTCTGCCACAAACACATTCACTCAGGGAAGGGAGGGATACAGTCCGCTAGCAAGGGGAATAAAGGATGCCTGTCTTTTTTTGTGGCACTCCAGCCCCGACAGGCCACCAACTGTTTTGGTTTTTTTCTCAATTACCAGTATGAATGAGAGCCTTGCCACAACTTTTCTGTGAGTTTTATTTTAACATAATCACCTCCAATTTCCATTTGGCCCTGCACTAAATAATAATTATGCATGTTGATTGTTTTTATCCAGCAGTTCGATATAGGGGAAAACAGCTGATATCTCTGATTCAGGAGGTCTATCACTTCAACAGTTTGTTAGCAATGTGACCTTGGGCAAGTCATTTCGCTTCTCTGAGGTTTCTTTTGCTCATTTGTAAAACAGGAATAATAATCCTTATTCTGCCCACATCCTGGGTCTTTTGTGAAACTTAAGTGGAAAGAAATAACTGATAATATTTTGTAGTAAGGTTTTAATATCTGATGTTTTAGGATTTTCAAGCCCTTTCACATAGGTTAGATGTTCACAGTCACTCAAAGATTTGGTAATACTAGTACCATTATGCCCAATGTACGAATGAGGAAATTGAGGTGCAGAGAGGTTAAGCAGTTTGCCCTAAGGTTGCTCAGCTAATAAGCAGCAAATTCAGGACTCCAACCTGCATGTTTCAGTTCTAAGCTTATGCTTTTGCCCCAGGCTCCTATCAAGTTCCTTATATCCCCCACCTCTTTTGTCTTCTTGTCTCTTCCTCTGAGCAAGCAAACTCCTGCACTTTCGCTGTCTGCTGTGCCCACAAAGGGCAGTGTCAGTTCCACAGTTCCTTCCCAAAGCTCTCTCCCTCAAGTGGAGCCAGGACCAGTAAGATTCTCAAGTCCAGTTGTTTTATCAGCTCTAAGGGGAAGCACAGCTCTGCTCCTCGTCTTCCTACACCTTTCTCCCCTCAGTCCCTTGATCCATCATCTCTTACTCAGGCCTTCTTTCTAATTCTGAGCTTCTTCCTGGGCCCAAGCCTCCTGTCCAGCGTGTACCCTAAGTGGGATCCCTGTGAGATGATGCCTCCTCCCTCCGAGCTTCTTCTGAGTGCAAAGCCCACAACCCCAGGCCAGGATGAGGAGACTTCCTCTAGTTATGGAAACTAAACCTGAGGCCTCAGTTCCAGGGCCAGGTGACCCCATTTCCCCAAAGCCCTTATTCTGTGTGCCTTAAATCATTAATGAGTGGCCCCAGAAACTGTTCTGTCCTTCTGTAATGTTTGTCTGTTTGGGGTCACACAGAGCCCCGCAAATCATATCAGTCCTCACTGCTGCTTGTGACACCTCCCAATTTAGTACCAACTGCAACATTTCCTTAAAGTGCAACCAACTTTCTCTCACACAGCAGGGCAATGTTAACCAAGGCAGACTGATGTCCATCCCCACCTTAGTCTCTCCCAACTCCTGGGTCCATGCCCCACCCTTATCTTATCTCCCTGTACACATTCAAGCCCTAATTATCCCTATCCTCCACCTAACTCATCCCATGCCACCTCACCTCATGCCGGGCCCTCCATCCTCCTAATCCTGCCATGCCCCTGCCTGGTTCCTATTGCATCTTCCTCTGCCTCTTTCTGCTCTCAATTCTGGACATTCAACCAGGGGAGAGGTGGAGGTAGAAACCTCTTCTTTCATTGCTCTTTATCCAGGAGAAGCTAAGGGCCCAAAGGGAGGACACTTTATCTCTTACCAGGGCATCAGTTCACATTTATCAAGATTAGTACCAATGAAGAATGTGAGAGTTCTGCTCCATCCTGGACTGATCCCAACCCACCTGACAGACTTCATGTTTGGTCCTGGGTCTCACACTGACCAGGAGGAGGAGGAGGCTGACTATCAAGTTCTATTGAAGAGAGCTGAAGCTGGAGGAGACTCACGAGGATGTGGTCTTGGACTTCACACATCAGAAGAGTTATCCTGGTGCAAAAGAAGCATGTCTTAGCTCCAGACAGACGTGGTAGTTAGAAAGTCCTGGGTTCAAATGTGAATTCTTTATTACCTGTGTGACTTTGAGCTAGGGACTTCAACTCTTTGAGTCTCACTTTTCTCATCTGTAAATGGGGCTAATTCATCAGAACAACCCTATGAGGTTATTGTTAATGTGAGGGCTGTAGAGTATCTAGGCCTAGCACATCAGTCACTCACTTCAGTTTCTTCCTTCCAAAGAAGGAACAAACTGCCTTAGCAAAGGTAAGCTCTTGCTTCCAAGAAATGTCTGGCCTGATTCAAGTGGACCCCTGGGTGGAAATTCCACAGAGGTGACTAGCACCAGATTTGGATCAAGTGACCTCTGAAGGCTATTTCAGACCAGGGTTTAGGCTCATGGTCAAAGCCTGTTTTCTGAACAGCAACACTGGATAGAGAGGGCTTGAGAAGGAAGCTAGGCGTAACACCCACACATGGAGAGGGTGGGGGGCTGCCAGTGCTGATGCCTT